TTCAAATATTCCCACTGTCCCTGCTCCAGGAGAGGAGTTGCTATCACCTTCCTTTCGCAGTAAATAATGATGCCTCTCTCTCCACAGAACAGCAGACCTGAAGATGGTTTCAACTGACTAAAAAGTTTAACCTAGGCTGGGACCCATAGCTCACTGCCCGTTTGTCCCCTTAATGAGTCTCCCTTCTTTCTTCATATTTCACAGTCTTCTGAACTAGAACTGTCTCACTCACCATCATTATCACAAATGGTGATCTATACAGGTATAGCGACTGCCTGTGGTTCTTTGATGAGTCAGAGCTTAGGAATCATTTGGTATCTCCTAGCAAAGCAGCCGGCTGTTTGTTTGCAGAGGCCTGTATTTTTTTTCCCCAGCAATTGTAAACAATCCCTTCTTACTTAGCATGAGAAGTCTGCCAACTTCTTTAAAGCATTGGCCTTCTGAGACCTGGGTTTGTAGTCTCAAATATCCCCACTGTTTTCAGTCTTGGTGCTGTTTTTCTGTGATGTCAGTTTTGGGCTGAGTGCCTGCCTACACAGGTAAGGTCAAATGCCTCTCCTGTTAGGAGACAACAAAAGGCAGGCCCTTTCGAAGGTGGGGGTGGGTGTAAAACAGAGGACCACAGAGACATGGTACACTTCTCTAATCCCACGTACCATTGTGTGAGCTGCCCAAACAAGAGTCAGGGATGAAGGGCACATTGTTTTTTTAGCCTGGGGGGCTAGTGTTTCATGTTGACCATAGTTTGTCTGCACGGCACACCTTCTCTGGACCCTTCTGGCCATTTTCTCTGTGGTCCTGTGGCCCCATCTTCCTCCAATAGCAGAATGATACAAAGCCCATCACAGCCAAGTGCCCCAAACAGATTGTAGGAGGATTTCAGAGAAGCTTAAAGCAGGGCCCCTTCTCAAAAAGTTGACACTACGTTGAGATAGAGAAGGAATGACAAGCGCTAAATTTGGTGGGGCAGATTTAAAGTTCAAGGAAAGAGCTCCAAATGAATGGGGGTGATCCAAGAATGCTTCAAGGAAGTGGTGGTTGAGGCACCTCAGATAGCCCTTCTCACCAATGACACTCCCCCATCCCCTCCCCCAAGATGAGTAATCTTAGCTCTCTGAGCCTCAGCCACCCTTCTCTAAGTCCTGCAGTTGAAAACTTTCCTTTTGCTTTCCAGCGTAGCTAAGGCTGAACCAGGAAGCAGGAAGTTTACCTTGGTGCATAAGAAAATAAAAATAATAGTAAGATTTTTATGAGTGCTTACTGTATACAAGGCACTATTCTAAGAGCTTTATACAGTAGGCTGTTTGTTTTACCAAGCAATCTAGGTACTAGCTGAGTGAGTCTGACAATTCGGGTATGTACTGGAGCAAATCAGCATAGATAGGTCATTGGCCTTCGCCTACAAGTAAGCCCTTTGGGGCAGCCACCGCTTTCTTAAATGGCCTCTTATTGCAAATGAAATGAAAAATGGGGCTTTTTACCCCCCTTTTCTTTTCCTTCTGTCCCTTTATCTCCGCTGCCAAAATGGTCTTACTTTGAAATCTTTCCACCTTTTCTAAAATTGTCTTAAAGTACCTTGGAATGTGATGATAGTATAGGGCTGGAGAGGTCTTTTTTCTTATTATAGGACTGTGCCTATAAAAATCAAGATTAGTAAGAACTGACTACAAAATAGCAACTTACTGGCTATGATTGAACTTAATGAAGAAAGCCTCTTTAAATGGCTTTGCTTATTTTAAAAATAAATGTCGCGGTTCTTAAACGGTGGTGGCTTGTTAAAATTTTCTGTTGCGATTTTCCATTGGCTTTGTATTTCCTTCAAATGGACATAATTCAACTCTCAAAATAGCCTCTAACTGAATATATTATTACTTAAAAGACAACATAGAAGCAAGCAACATACATAAACCCTATAGCCCTTCCTTCCAAAACCTAGTAACTAAGCAAAAAGTTCAGGGGATTCTCTTGGGTTAAAGCTGTTCTACATTCTGCAGTGCGAGAGCATCATCAATTATGTCAGATTCTAATGAAACTAGCTTTGGAAATGAGTCACTCGGGCTGAAAGCAGGTTATTGGCGTTTCTGTGAGGAAAGCAAGTGCTCCAATTCCTTTGAGGAATGTTTTCAATTAGAAAACAATAAGATGAAATATAAATATTGCAAACTTCTAAGGAATGGCCCCACGAAGTGGCCTGCCTGCTTTCTCAAGCTCTCCCCCGCTCTGGTGCATCGCAGGCCAGTCAGGGCACCTTCCATTTTGGCCCCTTCTCTTCAACTTTGATTGAAATTTCTCAAGTGAACCTTAAGGACTCAAGAGTTCTGCCCTCCCTTCGTCCTGCTCCTCTTTTTTGCTGACCTCAGAGCAGATAACTGACTGACCGATGGGTGGTTTCGTACCCCTGTCTTAGTGCAAGGAGACAAACACACGCCCACATGTGACACAGAGCCCGGCCCGAAACATTCGCCCTTGGCTTGCTTAAGAAAGTATCACTATTACTGTAATGGTTGTGAGTAGTGACAGATGTGCTGTGGTAATGGGGGGGATCACTTCATAAATTATATCAATGTCTAAGCATTGTACTGACGAAAAAAATTACAAATAAAAAAAGAAAGTACCCCCGAGAGAGGACATTTCTGCAGTACTCTCTCTCAAACCTAAAAATATCCTGTTTTCCTGAATGAAGAAAAAAATTACAAATAAAAAAAGAAAGTACCCCTGAGAGAGGACATTTCTGCAGTACTCTCTCTCTCAAACCTAAAAATATCCTGTTTTCCTGAATGAAAAGGAGACGGCTGAAGACATCAGAAAACTAGGTAAATGGCGTCAAGCGGGTCCTTACGAGGGAAGATTAACAAATGGTTGGTTACCTATCAAGCTGGTCCCTATGGGTCCAGAAACACTGAGTATATTGTTGGCAATGTCATGTGCCAGCATTTTAGCAAGATACTCATTGTACTTATGGAAGCGCTAATTAAGAGACTGTTGTACCAACAGGAACTTTTTTCAAACCCTCTTTTTTTTTTTTTTTTTTCCATTTACACAATGTCCATGGAATGGAGAAGTACAAGTGTACCTCCTTTTACCCAATAGATATATGTCCAAAAAAGATGTAAATCGTATTTTAAATTCAGAGGAACTCAGAAAATTAAAGTACTCTAATATATTGGTGTGATTTTTTTAAAACCTAGTTTCCGTTTTACTAATTGGCATTATAAAACTTGCCTTGCATATAAATACATACCCCCGTGAGAGTTGGGAGAGTCGGGTACCCACCTTCTTATTATATCTTTGTATTTCTCCTGCATCCCTTCTGTGGAAACTCTTCAGAAATTTCCAGAAACTTTGAAATTACATTGTACAGTAGACTAGAACTCAGCCAGCCCCCCCACACACACCCCAAATGATGGCTTAGCCTACAAGGGAAATAACACACATGACCTGAGGTGAACCTCCACATCCTTCAGTGACCTGGGAACTGGGCAGTTCTGTCTTCTCAGCCCTCATAAATATATGCGTCGTGAACTCAGCTTGTTCCATTTAGGACCCAAGGTCTTCACCTCGCAGCCTCATGCCTAGTGTTACTCAGTTCCGTGAAATCTAAACAACTAGCACTGTACACGAAACATCTCCTAGAAATGGAGTTCGTAAGTCAGATTTTTATAAATGTGATCATCTTTTTAAGGCGCGACAGAAGCAGCTATTTAAAAAAAGCAGCTTGGGTACACTTTAGGAGAATTGTATGGCATGTGCATTATATCTTTTTAAAAAGCAACTTGGGGTGGATGCTTTTGCAAAATGAAGGCATTGTGTATTCCAGTGATACCAGTCATGGCCCCTCTCCTCACCCTCCATTCATCATCTTTGCTTAAAGTAATATTGTAGTACCCTTAGTTAAAGAGAGCAGGGCTGTGTGTTCGATATAATGGCAGGCACTGTTGGGAATTCAAAAGAAGCAGAAGCGCCCATCCCTGCCTTCCACAGAGATGTGACAATATTCGATCCTAACAGAAGAAAGTCTGTGCCTGCAATAGACTTCTTCTGAGGGAGTTTGATTGTTTTTTTGCGAAGCATGTATGTTTGTGTTTTATAACCCAGTAAGTTATTTATAGAAACAGCTCGGATTAAAGTATAGCTGTCACACACATGCCCTCTTGTCTTGTTTTTCCTAGTTATTGCAACAAGGAAGTATATAATAAGGAGAATCTTTTCAACAGCCTGAACTATGATGTTGCAGCCAAGAAGAGAAAGAAGGACATGCTGAACAGCAAAACCAAAACTCAGTGTAAGCCGTTTTGAACTTAACGGAGAAAGCTGTTCGAAGATCGTTATGATTGGTTCTTTAGGGGGGAGAAATTCACACCTTGAATGTTCGACATCTGCTTCAGTGTTTACTGTGTCATTGATAGAGGATTCTGGGAACTTTGCACTCAGAAACCTGGCTGTGCATTTTACAAGGGAGATTAATGTGTTCTTTATAGTCTTGTTTATAAGTCAGTTGCTAGTTGGGGCATTTTTTTCCCTGCTTGTCACTTATATTTGACATAGTTAATTTAGTTATTTATACAGCGATATGGTCAGCTGAATCGGATCCAGTGTGCGCTTATTCTGAACTGTGTTTTGAGGCTTTGAAAATAGATTTGTTTCTCTTTCCTTGTATAAATACTAGTAACATTTCTAGATGCTGTATGTATTAACAGAGTGTAAAGTTCTATTAATAAGCATGAATTACAGATCTTTAGTGTAATCCATCTATACTGCATGGTTTCCTCATGTTATCTGTTTTATTTCTATGCTTTATAGCCTTATATAAGTTGTAGGCTTGGCATTTAAAACAAACTTGTACTTAGGTATTAGATTTTTTTTTTTTTTTCATTTGGAGCTATGAAATACTAAATCTGAGTATCAAAGATTTGGAGTGCTTTGGACAAAGTAAATTATAACCCCAGTATTTATATGCTGCAGAAATTAGGCATTTGCATCCTCTTAGATGGTCAGTAGAGTTTTTGTACTTTTTTCTCAAACCTTTTCACGCTTTGGAATAAATGAAAAAGAAACAAGTTTAAAATCTTGGGCATGTTATAAATTTTAAAGCCGGGTAATTTTTCTTTTTGTCTGTCTAGATTTCCACCAAGAAAAATGGATCTATGTTCACAAAGGAAGTACTAAAGAGGTGAGCATCCATCTGTTGATTAAATTTATTAAAGGGTAGGCATAGCTTAATGCCTTTCCCAACAGAGTAGGTGGGAAATTGGGCAACAATATGATTGCAAATCATGACTGTCCTCTGGGTGTGGGTGGATGGTGACTAGCAGCTCACTAAAACTAGCCAACCATCAGAGTTTGAGGCTAGAGAGAGAGAGAAGCAAAAGTTACTAAGTGGATCCTTCCAACCATTTAGTGAGATGTTATATGTAAAAGTGTCTATAAAGATTAATATGCCACCTCCGAAGTATTATTATAAAGCCCCGACCTTTCCCTCAGGACAGTCCCTCCTTTTTGTTCTCTTTAGAATTCAATTCAGTTAAGTTTTAGCCCTGGAATGACTGGTCATCAAATACAGCAGAAGTCTTAGTGCCTGTGCTGTGTGAGGCACTGAGCTAGATGTAGAAGGGGTCAAGACACTGTAATACCTACATTTGCATGGCACTTTATAAAACCCTTTTACGTGTATTTTCTCTCTACACAGGCATTTATTGGCTCGGACAACTAGGATACAAAGCAGTACGATAGAATGATAGAATTTTTTTCACTGTCAGGGACCTCGGGGGATATCCCTCTGTGATTTGAGGCCCAGAGGGGGTCAGTGATACACCGGAGCCCACCCATACTTCAAGGAGAGCTGGGACTATGAGTCAGGGCTCTCTACTGCCAGTTCCCTGTGGGTTCATAGGTCAAAGATCAAAACTTGTGCTTCCTGGTGAAGCCTTAAAAATGCTGCTGCTGATCACAATGAGAAAAGCACTAGAGAGCTGAGGCGAGGTAGCAGGCAGAGCTGGCAGACAGGTCTCATCCTCCTCTCAGGAGTACGTGACAATGACCCACCACCATCATCTCGCACATCACATATCCAGCTCCCACCCTTTCCCTGAGAAGCAACTACTTGTGATTTTCCCTGGCTGTTGTGTGCAGAGAACAAGGATCTAAACGGTGCAAGTCACAAAGAGGGGTGTTTAACATGTGAATCATTGACCAAAGTACCCGCCAGCTGTACTACCCCCATATTTGTGGCTCTCGGGAAGGGAGGTTCCCAGAAGGAGCAAATGGCCGTGGCTACCTAAGGCAGGCATCAAGCTTGTTCGGTAGAGTCCAGGTGGATCGTCTAGAATAACCTCGGTTCCCCTTCTTCTCGTGTTTAGCGTCATGGTTATTGCACGTTAGGGGAAGCGTTCAACAGGCTGGACTTCTCAACTGCCATTCTGGATTCCAGAAGATTCAACTATGTCGTACGGGTAAGTCTCAAGCACCCGAAGGCTTATCCAGCCTCTCTCTCAAGTCAAATGGCCTTTTCAGGTTATCTAAAGTAGTTTTCCCCAAAGAAACGACATTGTAGGACCCTGGGAATTTTGAGGGAAGCAGGAAATGGACTCCTCAACTTCCCTCTCTCCTAACGTACTTCAGGTTCTTATCTGGATCCTGTCAGGATGTGCCTGAGGTTGGCACTAACGGATGGACTGCCGTGATACCCGTAATACCTGGAGGGAGGCACCCTCAGCCCCCAAGGACAGATGGGAGCATGCTGCAGCCAGCACTGGCTCTGGTGGCAATGATAGCAAGAGAGGATTCAGACCTTGGCTTGTTTTAAAAAACCTTCTGATTGTTCACACTGCCCCATTCCTTGTCCTACTGCAGCTGACTCTAGGCGACCCCAAGGCATTCTGAGTTTAGACCACAAAACTGGATGAGTTCGAAGCACCTAAGTGCTGCTTTCCCGTGGCTCCCTGCCAGCCCACTCCCATGTGATAACAATATTTAGTCCTGTGTTTACCTAAAGCTTGACACTACCTTTTGGGGTCACTTATGTTTCCTTTTAAACTCTGTGTTGAGGAAGAAAAGGTTTTTAATGAGCTTTAGCAAAATATCAGTGATGAAGATAGTGAAGCAAATAAGTCTAACCATGACCTTCAAGTCGGCGGTTCTTCTTAACTGGTTTACAGTTGTTTTTCCCCCTGAGCATTTTTGTCAGTGGCTCAGCCTGTGAGGCAGCAGCTGTTTGGATTTTAGGCTCAGAAGTAGGAGGGAATTTTCCTCCTGTGGGTGTTGAGTGGTTTGGATTTTATTTTCTTTTTCCTGGGTTGTTGTGCTTCTCGGTGCCATGTCATAGAGTCAGATGATTGCAAAGACTCGGCCAGAGAAATGACATTCAAGCTCCCTTGAGTCCTGGATCGTTCACCTGTCATCTGGGCAGATGCAGGGCTGCCGTCCCAGCTGACCTGACAGAAACCCAGGCCTCCTTGGAGGTCAGACGCTCTGAGCTGCGGCCCTGACCACGTGAGCAGATCTGTCCCCTCTTCAGCTAAGCCCTTCTTCTGGTCCGAAAGGGTCAAAAATAAGAGACCGTCCTGATGAAATGTTCATGTCACTCAGTGTGACTCTGCCACTTCAGGGAGGTCACTGCAGCCTGCAGCCCAGTCCAGGCTGGTTGGAGACAGGCCCAGGAAGACTGGAAACTCTGTTGCTAAGAATATGAATAGTTTCCATCCTCTAGGTGTTAGAAAAAGATACCCAGATCTGGCGTCTTGATTACAAACTGGTCAGCCAAATGGACAGTTTTTAGATGGTTCTCCTTCCTACCTGTTTTTCCTTTCACAAGAAATAAAATTAAGCAAAGGAACATAATATAACAAAACTATGCACGGATCATAACAGTGAAACTCTATTTCATGCAAGTATGCGCGTTATCATCCTTTATCTTTTCAATAACCCTCTGAAGTGTAAGTACTTTTATTGTCTCTGTTTGAATCAATGGAGGTACAACAAGATAAAGTGACTCATTCAAGGTCACAAAGCTACATAAGTACAAATCCAGGATCTGGAACCTGGGCAGTCTCAGAGCCCACACTCTTAACCGCAACGATGAGTTCTATGTAAGAAGAGGATTGAAAGTTAAAATGGCCTGGGGTCAGATCCCCGCTCAATCATCTCACCATTTCATCTTCTCTGAGACCCCTTCCCCTCTGCAAGAGGGACTTGCAACAACCTGAACTTCAAGGGTAGATATATTTTATATGAAAAGACTCTGCAGACCAGAACCTATTCTATAAATTCAGCTTCTAATATTTATTATTACCTACTTACTAAAATTATCATTGATTCCTCCTAACGTTTATCAACATTTTTTAGTCGATAAAAATGTTTTTCTACTTAAAAAAAAATAACCGAGGAATCTTGCAGTTGATTAAGACACAGCGCAGAGAACCTGTGTCTGATAATATCTAATTGCAAAATATATATCACGAGCACTGAAATAATTTTGAAGTTCGAGAAACGGCTGAATGCTTTCAGAGTTGTTAGGTTCAGAAGTAGTGGAAAAATCTTTCTGTTTTGGAAAGAACAATCTTTTTTTCCCCTTCACTGTTAGAGCCCTCTGTAATTTGAGAAATAATATGTTATTTTTATGAAGAGCTTAAAACATTTTAATGATAGGCACTGCATTTTGAGGCTTTTCTTCTAAGGAACTCAATACACTTCTCATCTAGTCTTCTTATCCTTAAACCAACTCTGCAGCGTAGCCTGCCAGTACGTTATCCCTATGTTACTACCTCGAACTAATGGTTCCTTAATGCCGCAACGATTCTTTAGTTCCAGTAAGAAACCGAACCAGTTTTGAAGGCCTTAAAAAAAAAATTTTTTTTTTAAATCTCTTTAAAGGCAAACTACATTTTTAAAAACGTGGTGTTCATGCTGGCTGTCACCTTCCGGAAAAGAGACATGGGAAGGAATAAAAGAGATGGCCAACACTGCTATCTCAAGATGTCATAATTTTGATCAGTTAGCACAAAAATTTTGTGGAACTTTCGGAATCAAAAATTTTAAGGTTTCTATTTAGCTTTTTACCTGACCTTAGCTGGCTTTGGGCTACACTCGTTGCCTGTACCCTCTTCCCCACACACCCCCAAGTGGCTTAAATACGATTTTAACTGGGGGTTTAAAAGATGATTTCAAATCTTTAGAAGCAGCCAATTACTCACGCATGAAAGGTCATTTTAAAGAACTTGGTTTACACCATGCCCCAGGACCAACACATTTTGGAAATTCCCCCGAGGAGCTGGAGAGGGTTCCAGGAGCTGGGCTGTTGGTGGGGTGGGAACTGGGTAACCGCAAGGAGGCCAGTGCCGACTAACTTGCCCAGGGCACAGAGAGGCCAGCGAAGGAAGCGGGTCTCCAATAAACTGGGAGAGGGTTTCAGAGACCTCACACTGGCTCACGGCTCTGTGAGGTGACCCTACTGTGGCCCAGTGGTTCCCAGAATCACCTGTGAAGCTGGTCTACAGAAGCCCACCTCTAGAGCGTCTGATTGAATTAGTTGAAGGTGGCGCCCAAGCTTTGCTACGGAAATTTATCCTCCAGCTGATCCCCAGTGTGGTTTCAAATTTGTAAAGCAGCTCAGAAACTACTTGGGAGCCCAAATGTTATATTTTGCAAGCCAAGTTTTTAACCAAGACACATTGAGGCAGGTGCACAGGAAAGAGCTTTAATTGCTTTAATGGCATGATGGCCTTTGACCCGCTCCTCCCAGCTCTCTCTGTGGAATGAGAATGTGTCACATAGATGAGAACTACAGACGCCACGTTCAGAACAGAAAGGTCTAGGAATACCCTGAGTACCAGTTTCCTGACTGGAATGAACTGACCCGGATGTGCTAGTAGATCAGGAAGGACAAACAAAAGCTTGCCACCACATCCTCTCTGTCCTTCTGCAGCAAAGACGAACTTCACAGCCTAAACCGATGCACATTCTTTTTTTTCTTATTTTTATTTTTTTGCATTACCACCCTAAGTCCATTTGAATGTTTCCAGCAAGTTATGCATTCCTACCACCCCTAAAAGTCTCTTCCAAAAACATGTTTTAGTTTAAATTGACTGGCGGTTTGGCAAATGGAAGGCTGAAATATGGCATGATGACTCAAATGCAAACCCAGTGCCTTCAATTAAAAGGCGTGCCGTCGCCAAGGCCCTGGCGGGTCGTGATGTGCATCAGCGGCCTGGCCGCGTCACCAGGTCCCTCTGCCACAGTGACCTTGGATTAATTTGCTGCTGCACACACTCGGTGGCCTGCCTTTGATGGAGCATAGCCTCTGCCACTTTGGATCTTAAAACTGGTGGTATCTTTTTCCACTGGGACTAAGAAGCAGGGATGGAGGAGAGGAGGCCAGCCACCTCAATGGCAACAAAGTCAAAATAGCAGAGCCATGAGTGTATTTGAAAATGACTCGCAGAATGGTTGGGGCCCGTGAGAACTCACTGCAGGGCACTCACTCACAGTACCAGCACAGGGCGGGTCCATCAGCGAATGCTGATCAGGATGTCAATGACTTTGCAGAAGAAAGTGTGCAGTTCTCAGAATTCCTGGCCTTCCCAGTCATAAAATACACTCAGGGAAGCAGACCCTGCAATGTCTGGGTACCCACAGAAGTGGGGGACACTCCCAGATGCGAGAGTATAACCACAGATGAGGAGAAGATGCAGAAGTAGAGAGCTACCTGAAGAAGTAGGGGTGCCTACACAGTCACGGAAGTAATAGGGTGCTTGCTAAAGCAGGAGGGTACCCACAGAAGTGGGGGCATCCAAAGAAATAGGGAAAGGTTGAGAGACTGGATAGTGGTGTTTCTGGCCATGGACTCCTAACTGGAAATAAATAATGAAAGCATGTATGCTCCATGTATGTATTTTCATAAATTTACTTGTAAGTCACATACCTTTAAAAGGTGCTGATAATGGTATCTACCCCATTGTGTGGCTGTGAGAAACTGAATTTGAACATATGTGCTTTCAAGGAATGCCAGATACACGGTAAGCGCTGGGTATCAGTCTTTGCTGTTGCTCTCATCTTGAGGGTCCTAATTACAGGCCTTAGAAAACACACAAAACTAGAAGTTGAAGATGAAATGAAGCATAGAGATTGATGTCTTACGATTTTTCTACCTGATTTTTCTTTCCCTCCCCACTTTGGAGACTGCTAGATCAAAGGTGTGCCCGTGTTGTATAATATCTTTCTTGAAGACTCAGAATCTAAACGTATCCCATCCCCAGGACCAGAAGTGTATTTTATACTAAAACTCTACCTGGGTTTCTAGGCTAAATCAGGTGCTCGTTATATAGGGGGACGTGCTAAACTGGACAGGTGAGCAGAATTTTAGGTGCCAGTTCAGCAGACTTTTCTCCCATTCAAGTAGGGGAGGTTCCTGAGAGCATTTGACACGGTTCTCTGAGCTGTTCCGGTGGAGGGTAAG